ACTCCCCCCGGGCACGGAGCTGGGGCTCAACACAGGGGCTCAGCCAGTCCCAGGACCCTTGTTGCACAAGAGTCTCTCGCTCTGGGGGGCTGCCCCACCCCAAGTCTGGGGCCTTAGCCACAGACACTGCCTGCTGGGAGGGTGAGTGACTGACTCTGAGCTCCCCTCCCCCCTGCTGCAGTTCCCCCACTCCTCAGAGGTATTTAGGCACCTGCCCCACTGAAATCCAGGGCCGCTGGTCCCTCACGAGGGGCTGCTCAGCGCGCTAGGGCCCTGCACACAAGGAAAGGTGGTGTCGGGCCAGCCTGGGGCACTGGCTGGTGGGGTGATCCAGGTGGGGTGCAGCATGAGGGGTTCCCCGTTCCCCCCGTGCAGACCCCATCTGGTCTGTTCCGCTCTAGATACACTGGCCACAAGAACACGGCCTACAAGCTGGACTGCTGCCTGAGCGAGAAGGACACGCACGTGGCCAGCTGCTCGGAGGATGGGCACGTGTATTTCTGGGACCTGGTTGAGGTGAGATGGGGGCAGCGCAGGGCAAATCTAGCCCGCGGCGGCACCGTCCCCCCTGCCCTGGGGGTCCCCCCGTTCCTAGCCACGCGGGTCAGTCTCACTGGGGGCCTTTCCTCCCTCCGCAGGGCTCCCTGACGCTGAGCCTGCCCGTGGGCAGAGGCGTGGTCCAGTCCCTGTCCTTCCACCCCAGCGAGCCCGGCCTGCTCACGGCCACCGAGGGGCGCGTGCAGTTCTGGAGGGAGGAGCCCCACACCGCCGAGGAGCAGCCGCCCGCCTGTTGAGCAGGAGCATCAGGCGTCCCTCCAGCCAATCACACACGGACTCAGTCTTGGGGCAGCCGCTTTATTGAGCCCCGTCTCGGAGTGGGGGCGGCCGGGACTCTAGGGGGGGGCGGCAGCAGCAGTGAGCCCCAGAGCATGGTGGGGGGGGCCGACCTCTTGCCCTCCACAGCAGCTCAGAGCCCAGCCATGCAGGAGTCGTGGGCCTGCCCAGCAACCCTCTACCAACCAGTGACCCTACAGCCCCCCACTATCACCCCACACTCCATGGGGCATCTGGACACAGCCACAACTGGGTCGGGGGGCCTGGGGAGACTTCAGAAGACATTAATGGGGGGATCCCCCCAAGGCCTCTGGGGCTTTGGTTTTTTTTAATCTTCCCCAAAATCTAGCCCCCCGTGCCAGGCGTCCGTTCCATCGGTCAAGTACGCCACAGTCACCCTGCCCCCGACAGGTCCAGTGAGGGCACAACCAGCGCCCCGCGTGGAAACTGACACCTGGGCACCAGCTCCAGCCAGGAGCTAAACTCTCTCCGTTTTCCCTGCTGCAGAACGGCAGGGGCGGGCGAGCGCCAGAGCTCAGCGCTGCCGGGCGGTTCTCTCCCCCCTGCAAAAGGGGGTGTTCCTAGCACAGGTTAGAACGGACGTGCCCCGGCTCTCCCCAGGGGGGCACAGCTCCTGTCCCCCAGGCTGCCCTCACGCCAGGGCTCTGTTAGCTTGCGCTAGGGGCGTTCTCCCCTCGGGGTCACTGGAGACGGAACACGCAGCAGCGAGGGTTTAGTGCCGCTCAGCCGCTGACGTTAGAGGGGAGCCGCGAAAGCCGGCTGGCTGGCTCTTCGCTGCTGCTAACAGGTGTCCTGACCGCGTGGGATGGGAGCACAGTTGCTCTTTCCCAAAAGCTGAATAATAAAATCATGTTTAACATGTGCCGTGCATCCATGGGACCAGGCCTAGCCATACTGCCCCCAGCCACCTAAAGTGTCCCATCAGGCCCCAGCAGGAGTCCATGGGGCCCAAGGCGGATTGGGGGGGTGGGGGGGGTGCCAGGCTCTGCCAACACCCTGGGGGGAGCTGGTC